TCATTTGATATAATGTGAGCTTATGATACATTGCAAATTTGTATTTTTGTAGCTTCTTATTTTGTTTCTCTACTATGATTGACGGAAACAACTTTAGGCAAAAAAGGCCATTTTTTGATTAACTGAAAAATCTTTAATTATTAAACTTCTAGTGGCCTGCAGCGAAGTCGGAGAATACTGTGATGGCACTTTTATAAACAGATGCTGCAAACGTCTTGATTGCAAACTAAAAACGGTTTTTTACGGAGTCTGCCAATCGTGTCTACATACTGACGATTTTTGCTATATGAATAGGCAATGCTGCAACGGGATATGCAATTGGAGTTTCACATGCAACTAAAAATTAAAATATGTGAAAGTGTATCTCTGTAATAACATCTTCGGACGTGCTTTGTTTGCTTTTATCCTGATATTTGTTATCTGGTTTATTGACCAAAATAAATGGTACTGATAAAAAGATTTAGCAGAAGTATTTAATCGACTAATGTCTTAAACTGGATATAAGATGTGGGCTGACACTGCTATTATTATATCTGCATTTATAGAGTCTTGCGATGAAGTCATAGGACAGGCTGGCAACAGTTCTGGGTTTTGGGCATTTAAATTATAATAAAATAAAATAGTGGGCTTTTAAGCTTTATTTTTAATTTAATTATGCTATTCAGCGGAGTTCCAATTCTGCAAGGATGACAATTGTTCGCCATTTAAATGAGTTTTTTCCGCAAGAAGAGTTAGTTCTCCTACAGTTTTATAAGAACACAAAGGTTCTAGATAGAAAGATTTGAACAAGCCTAATAAGATTGCCAGTCACTGGATTGATTACAGCAGATCGAAGAAAGCAATCGTAAGTCAATCGCGTCATTAGAACTTTCTTAACTGTTAGTAAACATTATGACATCTCTCATAAATTTTGCAATTTAATGAGAAAATATCATTCCTATAAGGTATATTATATAAAATATCAAGCATAGTTACAAAAATGAGAGAAAAGGAGAAATTTATTAGAGCTTTTAGATTTATATCTACGCTCAGAAACGATTTGAGTCGGATTCTCAACCCGGAGTATTTCCTGAAACTACAAAAGATGGTAGACAAAATGAGGAAAAGGGTCTCGGAGTTAAAAGAAAAAGGGGACCAGAAGAAGCCTAAGAAAGATGAGATCTAAAGGCACCCGGCAAAAATTAAGATAATTCTAGAATTTTGAATCTCCCGCTACAGACAAGAGATAAAGATAAAGTGGTGAATCTGTTTTCCCTTCCTCTCGATCTCGAAACCACGGCGATTCTCAAGAAATTAAATACAGACAATAAATGACATTTTAGTGGATGTAATAAATACCTCCGAGAAGCTACCATAATAATAAAAAATAAAGCTGGAAATGGAAATCATTACGACAATATTGGCGCATCAAGAATTCACGAATAGAATCAATATAACCAAGATATATAGAGAATTAAAAAGAAACGATCAAATAATTCTATAAGCCAACAAAAGATATGTCACAGTGGAGATGGTCCGGAAGGAATATACAGAGAAAATGGTAAATATTTTCGAAGCTGTTAACTGTTCAAAAGGATCCAACAGTTAAGCTCAAAGGAGCATTGAAATAAATGCTAAAGAAAATGAAAATGTATAGGGAATTCTACAATCTGACAATGAATTCACTCATACGAAAGGATGCAAGAGCCCCAGCAGCATATGATTTGCCGAAGGCACACAAAGAAGGAGAACTATTGAGACTGATAGGCAACAACAAAAATGGACCAACACATTAACTAGGGTAATTTGTCTGACTCAACTTGAAGAAAGTGAAGAACTTATACGAATTTTGCCAAAGAATCGAAGGCACTAGCTTGGAAGGAAAAGAACTTTTAGAAAACTTTGATGTACAACCTATGCACACTAACATCATAGGAGAAAAAGCACTCACAGCAGTACTAGAGATCTTGTAAAAATAGGATGACAATATGGAGACGGAGCAAATTCGAAAAGAGTCTCTAATCCGATTAATCAACCCAACGATAAGAACCGCTTATTTTACGTTCGACCACCGCATCTATGAACAAATATTTGGTCTGACTATGGACTAACCCCTCTACTTGGACAAGTTGGAGGAGAATACACATGAAAATCCTTGTACCATAGGAGTAGATGGGAATGCCAACTTGAAGGAGAAAAAGGGAAGCGGTGCATTTTTTTACACCAGTTATTATGACCTAAGCCGAATTGGGACACAGGGTCCCAAAGAATTAGTCAAAATGTGGGTGGGAATCAGGGAGAGGATAACAGATCTATGGGTTTTAAGCTTAGGGTGAAGAAGTTCCCCATGCATTGGCATTGATATGGACATGATCTGTTCTAAATCCATTAATATGGCCCATTTGGGGACGGAATTGAAGGCTTTTAGGCAGCCAGATTTCAGATAGTCACACAGCGATTTTGATCTTAGACATGAAGATCAAGATGGCGTGGAAATTTGGTCGGAGCGTCAGGGAGACCTTGTGTCATCGGCCACATCATTCTAGATTTCCAGTATCCAAAATGCTTCTCCTGCCATGGTTGGCACAGAGTGACAACTTATCAAAGTGAAAAGTGAAGGCAATCAATCCCCTTGACCAATTTTCTGTTCAACCGTTGATTTTTGTGTGTAACAGCGACTAATTGACAAGCGGGGTAGGAGATGAAGAGGCTGAATGAAGGACAGAAAATGGTGGTGAAGATGATTGCGCTTCAATAAACCTGCCGGTAGCCCCACACCCTTAGCGACATCTGTTGGAAACGAGAGCACAAAATTGAGTGAATAGATAGATTGGCCATATGAAGTATGGCTGAGATAAAGAGATGCAACACGGGAAGATAGAACAAAAAATAGGGCCGAGGAGTGGTGCCACAGAAGTCGAACAGAAAAATTCTCAAGCCCGTTGTCTTCACTTGCCACTTTGATAAGTTGTAACTATGTGCTAACCATGACGCCTCTTAATGACGTTTGGGAATGTACCAAGTCGATGGTACAAAGCTGCTCCAAAAGATCTCCCTGACTCTTCGATCAGGGTGCGAAAGCGAGATCGAATCAACACTATGAAGCTAACGAAGATCGAGATCTAACATCATCTTAGTCCTAATATCTACGATTGAATTGTATTGTTTATATTTCAAATAAGGAATATAATTGGTGTAGTGACTAGATTTCACTTCATTACTACATAAGCTGGTACGACCAACTATATAAGCAAACCTTATTTGCTATAAGGGACTTATTTCGATAGCAAGAAATATATGACATTGGAATATACCATACTTAGAAATATCAGTTGGTGAGAAATGAAACTTCTTGATAAAGCTTGTTTGACCTTGTCTTCGCACCACAACTGTTTAGCACACGTTTGGTCGAAGGATGGGCTTCACTTGTCTCTTTGACGAGTTGTTGAATGGTGCTACGAATGGCAAGACTCACCGACGATGCCGGCGAAACGTCTGGGAATATACCACGTCCACGGTCCTACTCTGGAAATGATGATGTATACAATGGACTCTGGACAAGGTGCGTTCATATAAGTCTTACTACCAACATGACCAAGTTGCGAAAACAAGGTCAAACAACTTCTAAAAAATAAATATGTTTGGCCAGGTCAGCCCGTCGTCTACCTGACTATCCTTCTTGTTATATTTACTCACAATTCTGCCCATCATTTCCACTTGGTTTGGCGAACTGTCCGAGCCGTGTGGCAACTATTTCATTTATTTTATGTGTCCATAAATCAGCCTATAGAATGGGGTTGTGCTTTTCTTAGTTTGGCCGTTAAATCCATTTATCTTCACTATTTAAAGAAAATACTACAAGGAAAGCAGCCGATTCTTTCTTTCAATTTGCATAATCATGATGGAGCAAATTGTTTTCTCTCATAGCATTGCTGAAGCAATGTTCCATTTTTTCCAGCAAGTAAAATAGTGTATGCCTATTTTGCAGGAAAGCATATCCAACTCTTAACTTACTTGAACGATCATTTTCAGCGCATGCCATCTCTGCACCGAGGACTATTAAATGACAATTTCCCTTTAGCTAAAGCATTATCCTTTAATTTTACTTCAGCCAATTTTAGCGGGTGAGTGCGAAGCAAGTTAATTTACTGAATTAGAGAGAATTCCTGTACCCGGGAGACAGCAGACGGATTCGACGGGGCAAGAGGGAGACTTTGATAGGACTCACGAAAGGACTACGTAACAATATGACAGACTCTGGAGGTGATAACTACAGTGTGGAGTGTGAAGGGTTTTCATGAATGCCGCTCGAAGGAGCACACCACACTACATTAAAAATAAGCACGGTGAGGGTGTGATAGGAGGATATATGAAATGTGGATAGCCCAGGGCAGAAGGGGAGATACCATAACTGTTTAGCAGACGTTTGGTCAAAAGATGGGCTTCACTTGTCTCTTTGACGAGTTGTTGTGTGGTGCTGAGTATGGCGAGGCTGACTGACGATGCCGGCGAAACGTCTGGGAATGTACCACGTCCACGCTCCTAAATTGGAAATGATCGTGCATACAATGAACTCCGGACTAAGTGTGTTCCTCCAAGTCTTCCTACCAATATGACCAAGTTGCGAAAGCAAGGTCAAACGACTTCTTGATAAAAGATACTTTGCGATACTTCGTTTGATTTGCTTTTTCCCAATTGGCGAAATCAACATGGCGCTCATGCTTTTCTTAAGTATCTGATGGATCAGATGACGGCTTTTTAGACAGCCGTCGAGACTATATCATGATACATTCCAGCATCAAATTGATGACTAGGTCTCTTCACACATGTTTTCCCGGTATCGGTTTCAGTGGTTTCAGTCATAAGCTCCACCATTAGCACCGAGAAACAACTCTTCAAGGTGACAGCGATTGAGCGCGATCATCGTTAAGAGGTTATGCGAGAGCTATTACAATTTTTTAGAAATACCAATTTTGATATTTAGTAATGCTGTTAAATGAAACGATGACAACCAATTGTCCTTGTTGACATTCGTTCCCACACAATGTGCATTAAAAGATGTCTGCTCATCTCATTCATCTTAGTTGGGGAGACCCAACTATCAGTCTTTAAATCAATATAAGCTACCTAAACTTATTATAATTCCTATAAAATAATGTAAGCATAATTCTGCAAGGCACCAATTTAGCTACCCTCCATATTGATGCTGAGGAATGCATGCAAAGGGGAATATTTGGCATGAACATATTATTAATCCAGAGCAGAAAGAGCTGAAATGATGCCTGAGGCCGTGGATAAGGTTACAACTCTGGCATTTTAATATATATTGTCAGCGTACAAGTGTGACCATTCGACAAATCCGTGCTATGAAAGAGTTCGCATCAAAGTTTGCCAGTTCCGACTGGTTTATTGTTGGACTGACAGCGATTCTGCCTACGATTAGTTGAAAAAAAGGTATTTTTTAAAATTTGGTCTCACTTCTGCATGCCTTTTTGACATAATTTTGAGACACAGAGCTTAATGAAAGTCAATGAAAAAAATCAAATCTTCTCTTAAAACTATTACTAATAGAAAAGGAGAGATACAAAAGCACTCATGATACCCCAAAATGAATGAGAACGCGACTTCAATCTAGCCTCTCCACATGAATACTTAAAAAAATCTTTTATACATTGTTCCTTTATTAGCCGGGCTCTACCTTACATAAGCAAATAGATAAATAGGACAATTCTTAAATTAATCGGTATAGAAAATGCTACTTTCTGAACTAGATGTAATTTTTTATATAGATATTGTTACTAAGAGTGCAGTCTTCCTTTCCAATTATTCAACAATTGTTAGCCAAGCAACATAAAATTTGTAGTCTAATCGAAGGTATAAAGACCAAGATGGTGTGGCCTTTTGTGTGGTCGCAGTCTCCTTTCGTTGAATA